CCTATGCACTTTGAGTTGAGTTTCTGTCACTTACAACCAAGGAGAGCCTCCCTAGTCCAGTCCTTAGCTGGGCTCTTCAGTGCATGCTTTTCTAAAGCAGACCTCACACCACTTGCCTGACTCAAAAACCACTCAGTGCCTCCCAACATCCCCAGGATTCAGTGGAACATCTTTCACAGTATGTGCCCCAATTTGACTTTCCAGATTTGATACTACTACACAAGAGGTAAACCAGGATATCTGCTATTCCTCAAATATGCTCTGAAAGATTGTCCCTGCTTTGTGCCTTTGCCCATGCTGATCCACTATCTAGAACACCCTCCTCCTCCATCTCTGCCTATTAATATCTACTCAGGAAAAAGAAAAGAAGGAAGGTGTACTCCTTCCACAGGTCCAGTTTACCTTATTCTTCCCAAGAAGACTTTCTAAAATATTCCCCGTCCCCCAAAGATGTTACTGAACCCCTCTTCAGCCCTGACAGCATTTCTCTATATGATCTTTGTTTTTATTTTCCCTTGGATTTGGGGCCTTCTTATTTTAGCGTCCTATTAATGACAAGACCCAATCGCTTAGCTGCCTGAGTCAAAACTCTGAGGCATAGTTTCCTACCCCACAACCCATGTGTTTACCAGGTTCACTTTAATCTTTCAATATTTTTCAAATCAACCCCCATTGTTCCTATCACTCATCAGAACTCTCAGCATCTCCCACCTTTGTATCTCCTGCTCTAATAGGCCTCCCTGCCACCAGCCTTAACTACCACAAGCTAGTTAGCTGACTACAGATACCAGTTACCTTTCAAATATGCAAATCTGATCATGTTAGAGAGTCAAGGCTAATGCTCCCACTCCTCAAGGGCTTGACTTCTGTTTCCCTCCCCAAGCTCACTGCCCACCAGTCCCCAAGAGGCATCAGCCAATTCAGTCTCTTGATTGTCCGGGGACCCAGGCATTTTAATGGTGCTCACCATTGTGCACGTGGTCTCCTGTCTGGGAAGCCCCTCCTGCCATCTCTAACTGGTGCAGTCCCATCTTGCATTTACCCTGCATTGAGCAATCTTAGACTGCCTGCGGTAACAGCACTTTTATAAGCATCCACTCGATTGGAGTACGTTCTTTGCAGCCTCAGTGCCTGGCACAAGGTCCAGAACAGTACATGGGTGCCCAGTAAATTGTTTATTAGGTATCAGGCTTTTCTGGCAGAAAGGTCTTTGTATCACTTAGCACCAGACACATCGGTGTCCAACACGGTGATATTATTCACCTGACAGCCTGTGGACGCTGACATCCCACACACTTTCCCACTGATCCCACCCCTGAGTGCACAGAGGTTAAGGGATGGACACCGGTGACAGATCTAAGGTGACCAGATTTTAACATTGGTAAAATGTTAAAATTGACGGGGGGTGGGGGTGGAAAGGTAGAGTGAGGGATGTTCTTAATTAAAAATTTGGTCTATATGGAGCAACAAAAATTTTCACAGAACGCAAAATAGTATTGTAATATATATATATTTTAATTTCAACATAAGTACAATTTACAAACATAATACATTAAAAAAAATATATGTATAGGGCGGAGCCTGTGGCTCAAAGGAGTAGGGCGCCAGTGCACCTGGGTGACCTTGCCCAGGAGGGGAGTAGGGAGTTTACATTAGCCTTTTCATTTCCAAATGAAGTTCCATTAACCTCTTCATTCCCAAATGGAGTTACATTAACCTTTTCAGCAGCCAAAAACCGTATATTCCTTTCCCGCTGTCCCGCCGTTCCCTATCGTCGTGCATTCTTTCCAAAAATCGAGACTTTTTAAAAACGTCGTGGGACGTGGGACAAATTGTTGGAAATCTGGACTGTCCCGCCAAAAGCGGGACGTCTGGTCACCTTAGACAGACCTAAGTTGAAACCCTGCTCTGTCACTCACAGGCTGTTTGTCCGGGATTCAGCTCCCTTATCTAAAAGCGGAGAAAACAGTTGCTACCTTATTGGTTTATGTGTTTGCGCGTGTGTTAAGACTAGGTGAGAAAATGCATTTAGGATCTTCGGGCAAGTGTCTGGAACAGAGGTGAATGAGTTAATGAGTGGGAGGTCCATAGAAATGGTAGCGATTCTTAAAGAGACATCCTTCTAGAGCTTCTTCAAAGAAAACTCCTGCCACGGTAGGATCAGGTTTCAAGTCCGGCCCCCGACTGTGCAGTCTAGCCCGAGGCCCGGCACCCAACTATTCCCAGGTGCGGCTGAGTGAGGATAGACGGCAGCTGCTCTCAGCTCAGAGATCAGCAGAGGGGCTCCTCCGCGCAGATCGAAGCTAAGTGTTCACTCGGTTTGGGGCGATCCCCGCAGCAGCAGCCGCCCCCGGAGCTACCCTTTTCCTGTCCTCCCCGCAGCTTGGCCATCCTACTGCCGCCGATCACCAGGGTCCGGTCCCACCCCTAACCGGCCCTCCAATAGGGCGCGGAGGGGAGGGCCGGCCCAGGGCGCCTCCGCCTCCTCACTGGCTCTCCCACAGTTCTGCCTGCCCCTTTGTACGTCATCGCGCGGTGCACTGTGGAGCTTGTAGTCCAGGAAGGAGGCGGCCCTGGGTTGGAGGGGGTGGGTGCATGGGAACTACCGGCGCTCCAGCACCGCAGGGCCTTAGGTTATCGCCAGACCCTGAGTTTAGACACAAAATTCCTTATTCTAAATTTTAGAATCTAAAAGATGATGAATGATGAAGTCCAGCCATCTCCCCGCTCCGCCTTTGGTAGCCCCTGCAGTGTGCTGGGGCCCGTCTGGACCCTGGTTTACCAGGTCTATCTCACTCAGACAATTCAGTATTAACTGAAAGGTAACCTCCGT